AAAACTAGACAAAAAAACAAGACACGAAGAACGAGACACGAAAAACGACACACGAAAACTTGTCACGTTAAACGTGAAGCAACGAACAAGATACACAAATTGAGACACGAAATACAAGACACGAAAAACGAGACACGAAAAACGAGACCCAAAAACGAGACAAGTAAAACGAGTCACGTAAACGAGACAAAAACGGGACATGAAAAAACGGACACGATGAACGTGGCAGGAAAAAGAGTCACGAAAAATCGATAGGATAAAGAAAACAAAAAACCATACACGAAAAACAGGCACGAAAAACGGGACTCGAAATCTTGGCGGAAAAAAGACTCACGAATAACGCGACATGAAAAACGACACACGAAAAATGACATACAAATACGAAACACGTAAAACGCGACTCAAGAAACGGGACACGAAAAGCGAGACACGAAAAATTTGGCAGGAAAAAGACTCACGAAAAACGAGACAGGAATACGAGAAACGTAAAACGACAACAGAAATAACAAAACACTAGAAATAAGACAGGACAATCTAAATACGTAGAACGAGGCACGAAAACGAGAGAGAAAATACGGTCTCGATAATCGCAAACCGAAAACTGAAAACAGAAAACGGAAAAGGGAAACCGAAAAATGAAATATGAGAATCAAAAAACCAAAAAGAAATAAGGGATATTAAAATACAAAACACCAAAAAAATTAAATACAGTTGAACAAAATACAAGAGACACGGAAACCATGAGAAGAAAAACGAAAAAAAAACAATACACGAAAACCACACACGAAAACTGAGACACGAAAAACGGGACACGATAACAAACCACAAAAAACATGACAGGAAAAACGAGACACGAAAATCGAGACAGAAAAAAGGAGGGACAAAAATCGAGACACAAAAACGAGACACGAAAACGGGACACGAAAATCGCGTTCGGAGAAACGAGACACGAGCAACGAGACACGGAAAACCAGTCACGAAAAACGAGACAAGAATAATGAGTTACAAAAATTGAGACTCGAAAAATGAGACACGGAAAACAACACACTAAAAAATAAACACAAAGAACGAGCCACGAATACGCATACACGTCAAACAAAAAAAAGAACACTAAAAACGAGTCACGAAAAGCGATAAACGAGTCACAAAAAACGAAAAACGGGAAACCAAATTCGAACACTGGAAAAGATAACCCAAAAACGAAAACTGGAAAAAGAAAAACGGAAAACAAATATTGAAAACTCAAAAACGAAAGATGGGAGGACTCGAAAATCCAAAAACGAAAGATGAACATTAAAACACGAGACACAATAAACAAGACACGGTAAACAAAAAAACGAAATGAGGATAAACGAAAAATGGGAAGCGAAAAACGAGACAAGAATAACGAGATTCAAAAAAATTACACGCAAAGCATGACACATAAAACGAGACGAAAAACGGAACACGGAAAACGAGACAAGGAAAACTAGACACGAAAAACGACACGCAAAATGAGACACGAAAAAAGTGACACGAAAAATCAGAAACGCAAAACGTAACTCGAAACACGAGATGCGAAAAACGAGACACGAAACCCGAAAAACGAGATTTGAATAAAGAGACCCAAAAAATGAGTTGTCAAGAACAGGACTCGAATCACGAAAACGAGACACTAAAAACGAGATACGACACACGGAAAACAAGTCACGAAAACGAGACGTGAATGTTGAAAGAAAAAAATACCGAAAACAAAAACCATATTTAAAAAAAACAAACGAAAAATGTATATCAAAAAAAGATAAAAACCAGAAACCAAAAACGGAAAACGAAAACGGGAAAAAAGAAAACGGGAAGTTAAAAATGAGAGAAGAAAAACAAGAAAGAAAAAAGAAGACACGCTAAACAACGCAAAATAAGAGACACGGAAAACAGGACTCTAAACACGAAAAACGAGACACGTAAAACGAGACACGAAATCGAGATACGATACACGGAATCAAGACACGAAAACGAGACGCGAAAGTCGAACACAAAAAAAACAAATAACCAAAACAAAAACCAATATTTAAAAAACCAAAAAAGAGACAAAAAAGAAACGAATAACGGAAAACGAAAACGGGTAAGAAGAAAAGCGAGAAAGAAAAAAGAAGACACGCAAAACAAAACACAAAATACGAGACACGGAAAACAGGACTCTAAAAACGGAAAAAGAGACACGAAAAACTTATGCAAAAATTGGGACGCAAAAAATAAGACCCGAAAAATGAGACAAGAAAAACGAGACACGAAAAACAAGGAACGAAATGAAAAACTAGACACACAAACGAGACTCAAAAAACGAGACATGACGAACGAGACACAAAAACGAAACCAAAAGACACCTCATGAAAAACGAGATACGAAAAATAAAACCGAAAAAACGAAAAATAAATAACGAAAATCAAATAACGCATAATTAATAACAAAAAACGAAAAAAAGAAAGATGAAGATCAGAAACGAGGCTCAAAAAAAAAGACACGAAAAACGGAAAACGAAAAAGAGAAAGAACGGAAAACGGGAAGAAAATGCGGGACAAGAAAAACGAGAAACAAAAAAAAACAATATACGAAAACGAGACACGCAAATTAAAAAAAGAAAAAACGATACACGAAAATTGTGACATGAAAAACAAATACACGAACGAGACACGAAAAACAAGACTTGAAAATCGAGATCCAAAAAACCGGAAACGAAAAACGAGACACGTAAAACCAGTCGAAAAAACGATACACGAAAAACAAGACACAAAAAACGATACACGAAAAACGTGCCCGGAAAAACGAGGCACGAGAAACAAAACACGAGAGACGAGACAAGAAAAATGAAACACGAATTACGAGAAACAAAAAAAGCAACACGAAAAAGGCAACAATCAAAATAAGACACGAAAAACGAGACTTGAAAAACGAGACACGGAAAAGGCGATACGAAAAACGAGACACGAATAACGACACATGAAAATCGAGACCCGAAAAACGAGATTAAAAACTAAAACGGGACCCTAATATCGAAAACCGAAAACTGAAAACCGAAAAACGGTAAACATAAACAAAAGACGGAAAACAAAAAACGAAAAATGAGAAACGGAAAACAAATAATTAATAATGAATATCAAATAACAAAATTAAAAAACGAAAGATGAAGATCAAAAATCGAGACACAAAAAACAAGACACGGAAAACTAAAAACGAAAATGAGAAAAAACGGAAAACGGCCGCGAAAAACGGGGCAAGAAAAACGAAAAACAAAATACAAGTAAGCAAATTGACCAATTTTCAATTTGGGAATTCGAATTTCACAAGCTGCTTGTGCTTGTCTCAGAAAATATAAGTTTGGAATCGACAATGGCACGCAACGTAACATGGCAGTTTGAAAATCTAGATTGCCTCCTTATTGTTGAATGCTTTATTATTGTAAGTATCAACAGCTCAGAAATCCACATACAATACATGTACGTTACTTTACAACGCATTGCCAGATGGCATTAAACAACTGAAGTCCGTTCACAAATTTAAGTTAAAAGTAAAATATTTTCTGTTGCACAATTGTTTCTATACAATTAGAGACTATATTGATTATCAAAAAGAAGATTGTTTATTTTAACAAAACAGTGATGTATATGTATTGAATTAGTTTAATTTTTATTGTAAATTTTTTTTAACAAGACTTAGTATGTTTGAAACAAATAATGTACTTCAGCTTCCGGGTCAGTGACCCCATCTCGATCAGGTTTTTGTCCAGTTTCCCTGATCCATTGAGCAAATGCTGAGGTGGCCCCTTGTTCTGCTTCTGGACGTAAATGAATTTTCACTATGCGCACGGTTTGTTCACCTCTCCTTTTGTTGTAATGGTAGGAGTAGAGGTAAGGGCGAGTTGCTATTTTGTTAGCAATGCAGAAAAATCATACTTGCAATTCGTTTTAACCGATGCAAATATGTTTTCTATAAACCGAAACGAAAATGTCTGTTTTTTCAAATATTGCTAATCTCGCGTTTTTTTAATTAATTTTATTTTATTTATTTTTAAACTTTTACTCATCTTTCAACTATTTATAGTTAAAATGACGGGATGGGATTCTGGAACTCAAGAAAAGGTGCGCAGATGATCTTCTCCCCCATACGTCACATACAGTTTTTACTGTTTTTTGACTAAATTGTTGGGAGATGTTATAGATACATGAAATTGAGTTTTAATTATCGAATTTGTGTTGATATATCAGATTTAAAACTAGAGTTTTCGCATATAACGTACTGCGATTGTTAATGAGTTTTACAAGTAGTGACTGAAAGGTGTTAACATGGACGTAAGTTGCAATATATGCAACCGTTTCTAAGAACGAGAAAGTACAAGCTGATGTAGCACCACAAGTTTATTTTCATTCAGTGCAGCCCTCCCAAGTAAAAGTAGCTTGGACCGCCACGGAAATTCATCGCAGAGCTGTACCATTCAAGGATAGAAGTAAGACTGATACACGCAGATAGCCTATTGATTGAGAGATATCTTCAATTAATTATATTAAGATTAAATGTTTAATACTTCCTTTCTGATAGCCAGTGCCGTGTGAACGCACGGGCCCACAATGTTCAAAGTCCCCTGATAGTTCTTAAAAACATAATTTAATAATAAATTTAAAAAATAATGTGTAATAATAATAATATTCATGATTAAACTATAGACAAAACATTGACAAAAAGAAGTAATTCTTACATATACGTATAAGTATAATTTTTTGTTTGTTTAATGTTAATTTGAAACACTAAGAAATACTTTCAAAATATTTTTAAAAAGTTACAAAATACGATGTAAATTGATAGAACTTTCTTTATATTTCGGCACCGGAATTGGGAAGAGGGATTGGTGTAAGAATAGAGGACCCCAAATTAACCTAGGCACAATAGCGCCCGAAACTGTTAAAACGGCCCTGCTGATTTTTTTATTGAATTTGCATTTCTATTATTCCACTTTTCATCTCTTACAGGTTCCATCTGGACAGATTTTAAACCTCAAATCGATCATTTGAACAAATCGAAGTTCACGCTGGTGGCTTGGGACCCGCCCGGTTATGGAAAAAGTCGCCCACCGAAGAGAAGTTTTTCTCCTGGTTTTTATTACAGAGATGCAGATTTTGGAGTTAAATTGATGGAGGTGATTTCGAATTTCACTATAAAATAAATATTTCAGCACATTTTTTGTTTTATTTTTACGAATTTCAACTTTTGTTTTTCAGAAATTGGGAATTGGAAATTATTCTTTGTTAGGTTGGAACAATGGTGGTACATCATCAATAATTATGGCTGCAAAACAACCAAGCAAAGTCATGAACCTTGTTGTGTGGGGTTCGTACACCTACATTACAGAAAATGAAGCTATAACTTTAAAAGGTACTCGGCAGTTTTCAACAAAATTAATTGTCTGAAAGATAATGGAGTCATCACAAAAGTAGCAACATGTATATATTTATATTGTTTAAGGTTTTCGAGATCACACGTTGATTCCGCCTAGATTGAAAAATCCGTATATTGATTTGTACGGGGAAGAGCATTACGACGAGTTGTGGACAAAGTGGATAGATGCAACAATAGCTGGATATAACAGTGAAACAAAAGGAGATATTTGCACTCATCTCCTTCCAAACATTATATGCCCTACGTTAATTCTACATGGGTGGAAAGATATAAATATTTCTATGGAACATTATCAATTTTTAGCAAATTCCATCCAAAATGCAAAGTAATATAATTTATTTCATGTTACATAACCATTTTATTTAATATTTTATATAATAAACTGTTTTATTCTGAAGATTCATTAAATATGGTTTTCAAATATTTTCAGACTAAAAAAAGCATCTTTGTATTTTATGAATAAATTTTTTATTTTATTCATATTACATTCATTATTACATTTATTGATCTTTAAAATAAAATTACTACGAGATAAAGACATGTTGGAGTACTCATAACTATAAATGTACTAATAGCTACATATTTATATTATAATTAATATCTAAATTGTGTGTTGAATTTACTTAAATTCAAAATCCGAAAGAAGTCAAGGCACGGAAATTTACAAAGACCGCACCTCTAATGCAACAGGGCCACAATTCCAAAATCACTCATTTCGCAGGAGAGCCTTCGAAAGTTTTCTCGATGGCATTTAAAAACAGGAATTGAATTTATATTACTTGACTATTTATGAAACTAAAAAATTACGTTGTTGAATATTACGTAATGGAAAACGAGGAATCTAACAATGGGTGTATCTCAATTATCAATCTTTTGGAGATGTGACCCTCTTGCATTAAAGGTGTGATGTGTGATTCAAGTTCTTGAAAAAAATGTGTTTTTTTTTTTTTTCAGATTCTTTACATTTGAAGAAGGAAAGCACTACTTGCATTTGCAGTTTTGGAAAGAATTTAATCGAATAATAGAATACTTTTTATTAAAGGAATAGAATGGTAATGTATAGCAACAATATTAAAAAATAATGCAACTGTTTGTAAGATTCAGTTACGATTATATTTTATTTAAATGATATCTTCATATTAAAACAATGTACTACAGCACAGTGCTCTTCAGTTTAATGTGAATTTACCCCTTTTTATATTGTTAAAACAATAAAGAAATTACAAGTAAAAAACTAGTAAATGATCATTTGTTGTTTTTTTCCTCTCAATACAATAGTAACCTTAAAATTTCCACAAATATCATGCTGTTTTTAAAACTAGTCAAATGAATCAAAATTTATATTTAGAAGAATCGCTGTTCATTAAAAACAAATATTAATAAATCTATTAATCCGTCTTACTTTGTCTTCGTGACTTCTTCGTTGTCCGGTCTTACCAATAAAGCACAATCGTTTTGTTATTTTGCCTGCGACCTTTCATGATGATCGTTTGACCTTCGTCGTTTTTATGTTGTTTCGTTGTCACTGTAAAATATGCAACACGCTAGGAAGAGTCGTGTAGCGAGTGTGACTACAGGATCAGACCGTGTTTCAGAAGATTGTTTCCCTTTAAGGTGAATGAAAGGCATTACACAGTTACGAATTAATTGAAATTTAATCATGCTATGTACAAGTGAATTAAATGAGTTAGTAGTAAGCCGGAGGATCAGCGAAAGTTAATATAGAATTAGGTTGTTCTTCTATCTTGAAGTTTAAGTTCACTTTACTTACAATTTGTCATCCCAAATCAGACGAAGAGTGTGTGGAGGCCGTCAGTTCTGACGTTGGCTCCAAACTATTCGGCGAGCGACCTGAATGTTATTTTATTTGTCCCCTCCACACTAACCTTGGAATTTATTTTCTTTTGATTAATACATCAAGCTACTGTCTTGCGGCTTAAGCAGCTAGAGGAGAGGCCTTGTCTTATAGCTAAATTTAATATTTTAATCCCAAAGTTAAATTACTTGCACTTTGGTATTCCTAACTTACAATAAGATGAGTTTTTATTAATTAACTAGAGAAATTGTTCTTATTATATATGTGAGTTTTTTTTCTCTACATTCACACATCATTCATACTTGTTTCATTATATACATCGCCATTCATTCTTCCCATTCATTCATTCATCCCAATAATACGCACTTCACTGCACTACAAAACACTGTTCGCCAAGGCGCTGACTTGGCTCAAAGTGTCCGTGGCGCTCGGGCCCATTGGGAGGCGGGGCGCGGCGTCGCGTTCCCCTCGCGTTCGGCTGCCTCCGCTCGCTCGCCCAAGGCAACAAGCGGTTCGTGCGGCAGCGCGCGGAAGGTGAAGGCAACGCGCTTCGGACCTTTCCGGAGGTGGGACTGATGCGCGTCGCTGTTCGCCTCTCGGCCGGTGTCGCGCAGGCTGCGGACCCAGCGCCCTTGCAAGCGCCGTTGTTGAGCGCATTTGAGGTAGTGTTATAGTAATTAGTGTAAATAGTGTTTAGGATGTACATAGTGTTGTGTGAAGGTGCGTGTGTCAAGTGAAAATGTAATCTAGTGTGAATGTGCGTGTGAATGAAAAAAAGAAGGGGAAAAAAAATGAAAAAACAAAAAAAACAAGAAAACTAAAACTAATAAGCATGAAGAAAAATACAGTCTCGTGTTAATCTTAGGTTGCCGGCCAAAGTGCCGGCTTCATCCATCGGTTAAGTTAGAAATAAGTTAGTAAGTAAGAACTGCCCCCTTCTTTGCCGCATAAGCCGTAGAGCTCCGGCGTATGCTGTACCCCAACAAGAAAATAAACTCCCGCCT